AACTATTTTTAAATGATTTTTAAAAGAACTTGTACACTTAAATATTGGAATTAGCAGCTAGAATAGCTTAGGATCAGAAGCAAAGTTATAAAGATTAATTACTGTATTCTCCCACTTTTACTTCTGACATGTACTAGGATTGCTACTCCTTTATATTCAGTTTCCCCTCTACAAAAGGGAGATTGTACTTGCAATCCACAAACTTCCAGGGCTGGAAAGTGGAATTGTAAATAGGTGCATTAATACACTGAGAATAAGATGATTTTGACTACAGAATTCCAATTATTCCAGTTCTTCTTGTCTCTGTTCTGCAGGACACACCAGTTTCTGCTTCCCAACCATGGGAATTAATATACTACATCCTTCAGTTTTGTGAAAACTATCAAGAAGGAAAGTCTATTATATAAATTAATTGACTGCTACATCAGATAATTTGTTCTATTTTCTTTCCAATAGCAGTCAAAAAGAAAGTGTTAAACACCAATTTATCTCTTTAGGAGAGCAAATGCAGTATGTAGCAAAGCCAAATAAATGTAGCTATTACCCTTTTATCCACTGATTATATTGCTGGGAAACAACTACGCAGAGATTTATTATATAGTGAAAAAGAAAAAAAGTGGAAACAAACTTAAAATGCCCAATAATTGGAGAATGGTTAACTTGCACAAAATTACAAATTGACAAAATACATGCAGCTATTTAAAAGGATATGAACAAAGACTATAACAACCCATTATAAAATCTGTATAAAATAATGTTGAGTACATTGTATATGTATATATTGATTACAAAAATGTGAAAACTATGTAGTTATATAATATTGAGGAGAATTCAAGAGCCATGTAAGAGTAGCTGGCATACATTGCATTTAGCGTTCTTTTGAGAAGAGGGGATTTTCTGGGGGTAGTCTTTGAAATAGTAAAAATGCTGCTAGAATCAACATATCACTTAAGTTTTCTCTCTCTATAATACGGTCCCTAAAGATGACCTGAACTTTGTACTTGCCCATTTTCTCTCTTTTTATGTCCCCAAGGAATTTTATTTTCTTCTGATAAACATTATGAACCTGTTTCTTCAGTAATTATATTTAAATCATCAGACCTTCAGTTACTCACGCTTTAGAGCGCCTGTGCACTTCCTTCCGCGGGAATTCATGACTACTGAGAGAAGTCATACTCCCCCTTTTCTTCAATGAATGAGCAGCTCTGTCTTTAGCAATGTCTGACATCATCATAACTTACAGAAGAAGACTCCTGGGAAAATAGCAAAAGAAAGATATGAAAACATTGTAGTTAGTATAACAGACACTCATCCCAAATAAAGTACACAGATACTTCTACCATTTTTGGAATAGGGAAGTGGGGTTTCCTCAAGAGCAATACATAGCATTTTTTGTTATTCTGGTCAGTATAACTAGAAATATGATAACTTTGAAAACTTTTATTTATGCACTAATATATTTAATTCACATAAGCAGATATTAAGCTGTAGCAAAAAATGCTTAACTGGCAAAGAGGGAGAAAGTCACTGAGAAAAGATAACCGTGTGTAGAAAAAGATGCTATCCCACACCCAAACCCAATATTTTTTATTGCCCCCTCCCATATTTAATCTTGATAAAAGTTCACTAATTAATATTTGGTGTTGTTGCTGTTACTTTAAAAATTAAAATTAACCGTCTTCCCCAAAGGCTCCCCGTCCAAGCAACAGTGATTTACTTTACAAAGAGCAAACAGAACACCTTTTAACGAAGTAATTTATTGGAAAATCTACCTCCTTCTCACGAATGCTTGTTAAAAGCTGGTAGTAGCATTGGACTTCTCAGAACTTGGACCGTAACTCTGATGCCCTCAGTGCCTACCTACAAACTTACGTATTCATTTAAATTATTTCACAGTGTGTCAGTCTGAGAGCCCTAACGAGGAGACGCTGCGCTAGACAATAAAACAGAACCAAGATAGAGAATCTCTGCCTTCAAGGGGGCTGGCAGTCAGTGGGCAGGACGGACCAGAACACGCCCTAAAACCCGGTGTCCTCAGCGTCAGGACAGGACAGGCCAGGGTACGCAAGGGCACACAAATGGGGCAGGGTACCGTGTTGGGGAGGGAGGCAGTGCGGCGTGAGTACACGTGACTGCGCGCCTGTGTGGTGTGTGTGTGCGGGCGCCTGTGTGAAGGAGCCTGTGCGTGTGAGTCTGTGTGTGTGGAGAGACACGCTGCGCCTGATTCAGTGGGCCCCCTTCAGTGGGCTCCAAAGTCACAAGACCTCGGCTTCCTCACCTGTTTCTCAAGCTGCCCCGCAGGCCAGCCCTGTCCAGCAAAGGCCAAGTTGGAGCCTGGAGGTCCCCAGGGCTGCGGCCGGCCACAGAAAGGCCGCTNTCCTTCTCACGAATGCTTGTTAAAAGCTGGTAGTAGCATTGGACTTCTCAGAACTTGGACCATAACTCTGATGCCCTCAGTGCCTACCTACAAACTTACGTATTCATTTAAATTATTTCACAGTGTGTCAGTCTGAGAGCCCTAACAAGGAGACGCTGCGCTAGACAATAAAACAGAACTAAGATAGAGAATCTCTGCCTTCAAGGGGGCTGGCAGTCAGTGGGCAGGACGGACCAGAACACACCCTAAAACCCGGTGTCCTCAGCGTCAGGACAGGACAGGCCAGGGTACGCAAGGGCACACAAATGGCGCAGGGGTACCGTGTTGGGGAGGGAGGCAGTGCGGCGTGAGTACACGTGACTGCGCGCCTGTGTGGTGAGTGTTCGCGAGCGTGTGTGCGGGCGCCTGTGTGTAGGAGCCTGTGCGCGTGAGTGAGTCTGTGTGTGTGGAGAGACACGCTGCGCCTGATGAAGTGGGCCCTTCAGGTTCCGCTCCAAAGTCACACGGACAGACCTCGGCCTCCTCACCTGTTTCTCAAGCTGCCCCGCAGGCCAGCCTTGTCCCGCAAAGGCCAAGTTGGAGCCTGGAGGTCCCCAGGGCTGCGGCCGGCCACAGAAAGGCCGCTCAGGCCTCGCGCTGCTCAGGTTCCGGAGGTGGCCGTGCTGGCCGCTGAGTTGGGCACCACCCTCGAAGTCCAGCCACGGGGGCAGGCGAGGGGCCAAAGGCCAGGACTCACTTCCAGTCCCCCAATTCGGGGTCACTCTCTCATTGGGGGCAGGACGAGGAAGGCGGAGGAGAGGTCAGAGCCCGGCAGGCTGTTTGTCCAGGCAGGGCCGCTCGCCCCTCGGCGCGGCGCTGTGGAGAGCGTGCACGCACTCACCGCAGGCCGGGCGGCTGGGCGGCTGCTCCACCGCGGACGCGGCCCTC